CAATCTGAGGTGTGCCGGCATTATGACCACTAGATGGAGCCAAGGAGCACAGGAAATGCCATTGTTCCACAGCGCCACCTAATGGCAATAACGTGCTGCGCATATCGATCACATAACTGTGTGCTCTGTGAACGGTTTACAATCACCCTAGCTGAAGGTTACACGTCAAACCCTATAAGGCAATGAATGCGTTTCTTTCAATCTTTTCCAGCATTAAAAGCCCCAACAATGCCAGCAGCAGGATCTCCGCAATGAAATACAACGTACGGCTTCGGAGAGGTAAAGTCAAAATGAACAGGCTGCATGGTATGGGATTGTAGACTCGCTCGCTGCTCCTCCTTCACTCTCCGGTATGTTAGCAGGTTACAGGAGGAAACTAAAGTACACATGGATACAAGGAGAGAAGCCAGATTCCACAGAGATACCGGACTCCACAAACCCAACACTGCAAGACTACAGAACTATCCACAGAGCCACCATTTTCCCAGACCTAGGACCACGGTACCAGGGATCAGCACCGAGTATACCAGAAGAGCCACCATCTCCCCAGACCTAGGACCACGGTACCAGGGATCAGCACAGAGTATACCAGCAGAGCCGCCATCTCCCCAGACCTAGGACCACAGTAGCAGGGATCAGCACCAAGTATACCAGCAGAGCCACCATCCCCCCAGACCTAGGACCACGGTACCAGGGATCAGCACCGAGTATACCAGCAGAGCCACCATCTCTCCAGACCGAGGACCACGGTACCAGGGATCAGCACCGAGTATACCAGCAGAGCCACCATCTCTCCAGACCAAGGACCAGGGTACCAGGGATCAGCACCGAGTATACCAGCAGAGCCACCATCTTCCCAGACCGAGGACCATGGTACCAGGGATCAGCACCGAGTATACCAGCAGAGCCACCATCTCTCCAGACCGAGGACCACGGTACCAGGGATCAGCACCGAGTATACCAGCAGAGCCACCATCTCCCCAGACCAAGGACCACGGTACCAGGGATCAGCACCGAGTATACCAGAAGAGCCGCCATCCCCCCAGACCTAGGACCAGGGTACCAGGGATCAGCACCGAGTATACCGGCAGAGCCACCATATCCCCAGACCTAGGACCAGAATACCAGGGATCAGCACCGAGTATACCGGCAGAGCCACCATCTCCACAGACCTAGGACCACGGTACCAGGGATCAGACCTAGGACCAGGGTACCAGGGATCAGCACCGAGTATACCGGCAGAGCCACCATCCCCCCAGACCGAGGACCACGGTACCAGGGATCAGCACCGAGTATACCAGCAGAGCCACCATCTCTCCAGACCGAGGACCATAGTACCAGGGATCAGCACCAAGTATATCACCAGAGCCACCTTCTCCCCAGACCAAGGACCACGGTACCAGGGATCAGCACCAAGTATACCAGCAGAGCCACCTTCTCCCCAGACCAAGGACCATGGTACCAGGGATCAGCACCAAGTATACCAGCAGAGCCACCATCCCCCCAGACCGAGGACCACGGTACCAGGGATCAGCACCGAGTATACCGGCAGAGCCACCATCCCCCCAGACCGAGGACCACGGTACCAGGGATCAGCACCGAGTATACCGGCAGAGCCACCATCCACCCAGACCTGGGTACTCCCGCCATACCAGGAACATACCACTTCGGGGGGGGAGGGGGGGGGAGCTGAGCTGCTGAAATGAAACTAATATACACTGTAAATGTAAAGTGATGTACTCTGCGGGGTCAGAGGTCATGCTAGATAAAGATGGCTGCCGCCTTAGGACCACGCGTGATAACATGTGACATAGCATGGCGTAATGCATGGCACAGATGTGAATGGTGCCTTAGGGCCACGAGGAGCCCGCAATCCCGGTTGTCATGGTTACCAGCCTGTAACATCGCGCCGGGACTACAACGCGCGGCCGGTTCAGAAGCAACCGCGGCCCTAGCCGATTCGTGGATTGAAGACGTTTCCTTCTTCCACGTAAGCAAACGCGACGCGTTTCGCAGCAGCGCGACTATTCCGGTAAAATCTCGGCACGGGCCGTTAAATACCTGCTTCTGATCTACCGTACAACGCATACGGCGGCCGTGTCCGTGCTCACGTTAAATCTATTACCGTC